CGTTGGAGAGCAAAAGAGGAGAAAGAAAGGAAAAAAAATAACCGGTACCGGAACCGGTGCCGGTAACGAATTTGGGGCACCGAAACCGAGACCGGATGTGGCGGTACCGGTGCCGGTTCTCGGAACCGTTTCACCGTCCCGGTAGCCGTTACGGTGCTCGTTACCGGCGGTACCGTTTCCGGTGACGGTACCGCACCGGTACCGTGTCCAGCCCTAGGCACAAGTTGGCTTGAGGAGCAGTATTATTTGTACTTTCATTTAAAAATAGGTAAAATTTTATTAAATTATACTCTCTCCGTCCATTAATTTCTCTTTCTGTTTTGAGTCGTCCAAAAAAAATTTCTCATTTTCTATTTTGGCAAAAAAAACTATTAATGAATGTATCATGACACCGTCATTTTTTATCTATTATTCACTTTATCTCATCACATCAAAAACAATGCATGATTATTATTTATTATTTTTTCACTTTTCTTATAAATCTTTGTGTCAGGTTAAATAGAAACGAAATTTTTGGACAGGGAAGTACTAAGTAAAAACCAAAAATATATATTACTCCCTCCGTTCCTTTAAACCCTTCCACTTTTGACTTTTGACAAAAATAAGGAAAGTGTAATTTTAGTTGATTTTCCAATTTTGCCCTTTATGTGATGATAAAAGTAAGATGTGATAGTTTGGTTATTAGTGAAAAAATATGATGTGATAGGTAGGATATGAAAAAGTAAGGGTAAAAGTGATTTTTTAATAGAAAGTGGAAGTTTTTTAGGGAATTCAAAAAAACGAAAAGAGAAAAGCTTTATGGAACGGAGGGAGTATGTACTTTTTCATTCAAAAATTGACAAACTTCAACAATAAACTAAATAAAAAAATTCTCCGTATTAGATATTAATACAAAAATAATTTTATTAGATTCATTTTATAAAACATTTTTGAAATACAAAATATAATTTTATCTTATTAACATACGATATATATTTGATTTAATTATTTGTCAAAGATTGAAAATGAACAAATCATCCAGACCATAAGAAAAATAAGAATGAAGAAGATACTTCCACATCAAGACAGACGACAACATTTATTCAGACATAGTAAATTTAATTTCCAAGGTTACTGACTGTTGCCACAACACACAGGTTAAGTACATAACATACTTTATGACTTGCGACGAAATACAAACACCCAACTCAAATGGTGGCATATAATAGTAATAATCATATGTGTATTCCCTTGCAGCTGTTTAATTAGCAAGCAACCCAAACCTCATCATCATCTTCACATGGTCGGCCTCACATTGAGATGTGAAGATATCTTCTGCCCAAGAGACTTATCCGCCTGCATTATTCAATCATCATTTTAACATAATTAGCGTTCGTTCACCCAAAATCAATCCAATCAGCCCGCCTTGGGCTAGACAGGTTAATTATACAGGACCAAAATAACTGGCCTAAGGCGCTAAGCCCGGCATTATTCCATAATTAGCAGTCTCTTGAAACAAAAATGTATATGTACAACTAATCAAACTACCACAGAAAGCCTTTGAGAAGAGCTAGTATAAGGTAAATTTTTTTGGTTAGTCTATACCTGAGTCCAGTATGAAATCCAAATGCTGCGCACTTCATGGGTGACCCGTGGGTCAGACAGTGCCTCAACCCATCGCCGGACGAATCTTTCTTGCCTGGTGTTATTTACATGGTAAAAAGTATTGCAACCCGCTTAATCTTTATGTAATAATCTCAAGAACAAGACATTAAAACTAGCTAATGTGTTCGGGTTTAATCAATTACCTATCTGGTGCCCAGGATCTGTATCTCTCTCCTGGCTGCTTGAAGTTGTTCTCCTTCTCAATTATGCACTGCATGAATACTATACCATGTGAGTGCAAATCCCATAACTAATCACTAACTGGGGTTTTTGCGTCTAGAGAAAAACAGATGAGGCGGATAGGTGTTTATAACTACTTCTACTATTTAGGATCATCAATTAAGTAGGCAACTGACCCTGTCGCGCTTTCCTGTCAACACACGTGGAGGAATAGGGTACTGATCTGCATGGCGACAATTGTCATACCTTGATGGGAAATAGTTTACCTGATGAAATTACAAAACACACCGTGAGACAGATAGATAAATAAGTTGCGAAGAGCAAAGGAGAAACCAAAGAACATGACATACTTCTTCATCTCTATGCATGAAATTCATTAACCCATCATGGTGGTTATTGTGATGAGCACACTTGGGGGCATTGACAGGAAGCTGGAGATAATTAGGGCCAAGGCGGTATCGTTGTGTGTCAGAATAGGAGAAAATCCGTGTCTGGAGCATCTTATCATCAGAGTAATAAATGCCAGGAACCACAATGGCAGGGCAGAATGCCAGCTGCTCATTCTCCGAAAAGAAGTTGTCGATGTTCTTATTCAACACCAAACGTCCCACAGGCTGCAATGGCAATATGTCCTCGGGCCATGTCTTGGTCACATCAAGCGGGTCAAAGTCAAACTTGTCTTCATGATCAGGATCCATCGTTTGGATGAAGAGTTTCCACTCGGGATAGTTCTGTGCCGCAATTGAATCATAAAGATCTTGGGTGGCGTGGCTGTGATTACCACCCCCGACCTTAACACATTCTTCCTCCAATAGACATTTGACCCCACAAGTCGGTTTCCAGTGGAATTTCACATAGTGTGCTTTGCCTGCCTTGTTGATCAGGGTGTAAGTATTAACACCTGAACCTTCCATGTGCCTGTAATCTTGTGGGACACCCAAATCATCAAAGAGGAAGGTGAACATATGGAGACTCTCTGGGTGATGGGAGAAGAAATCAAGGATCCTCCAATTCTCCTGTATGTGAGACTTGGGGTTTGGTTTTAGGGCATGAACCATGTCTGGGAACTTCATTCCATCACGAATAAAGAAGACCGGAAAATTGTTTCCAACCAGATCAAAGTTACCCTGTATATGACAAACCACACTTTAGCTTTTAAGATTTTTCTTCAAATTCTTTTTGGTTAGTGAAATATTTTATTTAAAAAGAATAGGATGAGTCATCCAGAAACCCCTACCAAAACAGATCCTGTGGGTTCAAATGAGACAAAGTATAACACAAACACAGAAGTATGCAAAGAATGAAAAACTACAAGTTTAATAAAAACATAACAAAAAGAGTAATGCTAGAGTCACAAACAAACAGTTCACAAAATTCACAAACTTGCCTTTTTAACACTTTCCTAGAAATAAGATGCACTCAAATAATAAAAGATATTTTAATTTAAAATCCACAAAAGGCAAGTTTGTGAAGTTTGTGAACTATATGTTTGTGACTCTAGCATTTTCCTAACAAAAATCACAACTTACTATATTTTACTTTAAATTTTCATTTTCTAAATTATATGAAACCATTTTATTCATTTAGTGAGGTCTACAACTAGAAATTTTTTGAAAATTGTGACCTTTTTGTTGGTGACTCTAACGTTTTTAATTGCATCCCAGATCCCATAAGTGAGATTTATCAAAAACTGTCCATAAATGGTAATTGTGTTCAATAAACGGGGCAGGGGGGAAGACAATTTTACAACAAAATAAAGGGTATGATGAAGCCAGGGGACAAATGAATAATCACTGTTACCTCTCTAGTGTAAAACTTCACTGCAAAGCCCCTTGGATCCCTGAGGGTTTCAGGGCTTCCTCGCTCATGGATAACGGTTGAGAACCGAACAATAACAGGTGTCTGAACCCCTGGAGCCCGAAGAAAATCAGCACACGTCAGATGAGAAATATCATGAGTTACTTCAAAAAACCCTTTAGCACTTGCTCCTCTGGCATGTACAACTCGTTCTGGAATCCGCTCTCGATCAAAATTAGCTAACTTCTCCACCAAGTGATAATCCTCAAGTAGAATTGGTCCTGGACAGATCGAAAAAAGCATTTATGGTATCATTGGAAAGTAATAGAAGACAGAAAAAGCTAAATTGAACTTCTCACATGTCACAAGCAATTGTTTTGGGGAAAAAACATAGTAAATGGTCAAAAAATACATTACAAAAACTGGTTGATACAAGTTCCAACAAATAAAAATAAGCTTTCTAAACTGGATATCGTAAAATCAGACATACGTAGATGTTGATTCATAGGGTTTGCATAAGATAATCGTGAAGAAGTTGAAATCAAAACACATGTAAGTTAGTGACAGGTTTTTTTTTTGAGGAAGACAGTTTTTATTTTACTTTGTAGTAAAAGATCTGATTTTCATATCTGAGGATAAATATACAAATTACTTGGAACAATTTAGGAATCAAGCCTATACAAATTCCAATAATCCGCACCTACCTATCCACTTCGGGCCTAGGGATTGAAATTCTAACATAATAACAAATTGGATTAGAAATTAATGTATCGATGAAAAATTGACTGGCATAACTTCACAAATTGGCTGAAACTACAACACCATACCCGAAGAGAAGGTAAAAACAGCAAATCAGTCCAAAAGCATAACAGAAATACCTCTAGTTCCGATTGTTAATGAGGAGTTGTTGTTCCACACGGGAGCACCGGAATTGGTGGTAAAGAAAGGTGAGTTGAAGGCGCTGGACGGGCGGTTCTGCGTAAAAAAAAACCACAGGGAGATGAACAGATAATAAAATGAATCGATTAAACTAGGTGAGTATATATGTATTGATCTAAACTCGAATAATAACAATAATAACGCTTATGAAAAACAAAAGGAGAAAAAAGGTGAAGAAGATGAAGAAGAGCAGAGTCCAATGTGAATAGAGAAGGTCTGTGTGTACCTTGTAAGGATCCATGGGAGGGAGGCGAGAGAAATGAGAAATGAGATTTGCTCCGATGCGATGCGAGGAGACGTGCTGCTGGTGACACAATCAAAATAGGTGCTGCAATGTTTATCCAGTGGCATATAAATAAATATGCGCGCTTTAACTTCCATTGTAAGGTCATGGTGCTTGACCACCGCCTCTTTGGCATCATCGACGGTAGCCAAGACAGTGGCTTTGGAAAACAACTTTTTACATAGTTTTTGGCATCTTTGACTGACTTCGACTTTTTTTTACTAAGTGAACTGTTAAAACTATTGTTAGGCTATTGACTTTTTCACTAGCATTTTGATCCGAAAAACCAAAATCTAAAATGCCAAAGGGCGTAGTATTTGGACTTGGTTGTTAGGAAAATTAATTTTTTAAAAATCATTTTTGTTGAAAGATATTTTATAATATAAGTAAAAAATAAAAATTAAAGTTAAAAAATTAAATACTACGGAGTAAAAAAATAAATTTTAAAAATTAAAAATTTCAAAAAAATGAAATGAGAAAATAAAAAGTAAAAATCATAAAAAAGTTTTATATTAATAATTTCTTATGAATTAAATGAAATTAAAATTTAATACTCCATATAGTAAAGATTTAACTTTTACATGTAAAAAAATGAAAAATGTGTGTGTGTGTGTGTGTATGAAAAACTATTTTCAAACAGCTAATTTTACCAAACATTTTTAATGATCAACCAAATCATCATAACAGTCAAATCAGCTAAACTAAACATCCATTCACAACAGCTGGCATGGACTGCCAACAGCTGACAGCCAACATCCAAATAAGGCCAGTATTTTCAAAATTAATTTAAGTCATTTAAAATTTCATCCAACATAATAATCCTAATTGAAAATGTTATTTCCAAACATCGCTCATTTTATTTAGGTGTCCTGTAAGCAAATGTTTATTTACTTCAATCTGTTCTTATTACCTTTTTACCTTACTTTTGTTGGTATTGTATTATATTAGAAATAATTTTTAATGTAACTATACTCAGATCAGAATTTATTTCAATCTGATTAGAATCAATCAGATCAACTAAAAAGAACATGTCTGAAGTCGCTGTAGTTATAACATACTTACTTCATCCCAAAACTTATTTCTAACTTATATTCATATAGTCAAATTTTAATCATTTTTTTATCAATTTTTATTAGTTATTAAATAAAATAATATAATTATTTTAATTCATTTATTTAAAATTGGTATAGATATATAAACAAAACATATTTATTTAAAAACCGCATAAAGTTCTACACAATAAGATTTGTCAAAATATTTTATTTTATAAGATATTCAATTAAAATACATAAATAAATAAAAAATTTCATGATTTTCTAAATAGTGATGACTGATGAGTGTAATTCTTCTTGGAAAGGTGGAGGCAGGGGCGGACCCACGTTGAGTCATACGGGGTCAAGCGACCCCACGAAAATTTTAAATTTTTTACCCTATATATATAAATTTTTGGGTGTATTTGTATAGTTAGTATATATTACATAAAACGCTAAATGAAAGAACGGGGACATGTTGAAGGAGTGGAAAGCTTCGCGTTTGAGCAATGTTGACTGCCTGGGCGACCCAGGTTTCGATCCTTAGTGTAGGCGATTTATCCCAAACTCAAAAACAATCTTCAATTTTGCCCCTTTGCTGTTTTTTTTGACATAATTGGTTGCTTTAATTTTCTATGTTTTTTTTACATAATTTAATCTAAACTAAATATTTCTTTTTATATTTGTGAATTGTGAATATTATAATTTATTCTTATGAATTTGTTATTGTGAATAGCGAATCGAATATTCTATTTTATTTTGTAAGATTTTGATTTGTAAATATGTTAAAATAATTAGATTATTTTTTAAATTTATAATGTTTTTAATTATTTAAATTTCAATATAGGATGCAAAGATGTATTTAAAAGGCACCAATTATTTAACTTTTTAATGATTTATCGGTTTCATTTAAAAATCTATAGTAAAGTTTATGTTTATGGAGTGTTTCAATTTTCTTAAGTACTTCAAAAATTGTGTACCTCCTTTCGTATTAAACTATTAATCAACATAACTATTTTTTATTTGTCTATTCTCTTCTATATCAAACAAACTTATAAACTTTACACTTTACTTATTTATAGAAAAAAAATATGTAGTTGATATTATTCCTATTTTCTTAAAATAAATTCTTATTATATATCATTCACTTTTTAATGATTCATCCATCTCATTTAAAATTTTATAGTAAATTTCGAATGTCAATTTTAAAATTTTGTATTACATGTTAATACCATAAAGTTATTTTAAAGAATATTTTCAAATATGAATCTTATTTTACTTACGACCCAACAAATGATATACTGTCTCAAATTTTTAAATATATGATCGACCCCGTGGTAAAAAATCCTGGGTCCGTCCCTGGGTGGAGGTATTACATTCTACTAAAAGTTATTAGTAAATAGTAATGGAAAAAATTTGCACGCTTAAACTCCCATCAAAGTTTTTCCACTTTTCTTTTATATTAGTTATAAAAATAATTCATCAATTTTCTCTCTTTAAAAAGAGTAAATGATCCATAATATTTTATTGCGTTTAAATAAATTGTAATAGCTCATTTTCAATTTATTTTAGTATCAATTAATTAATATGAACGAAAGAACAGGAGTTATCTATTTTAATGAAAACAAGAAATCTATTTTGCTTCGTATTTTTAATACTTTCATTACATCAAAACGTTACATATTTTTATTTTCGCTTCTATTCTTTATTTTTAAGGAGAAATTTGCCATCTTTATAATTTTCGGTCATATACTCCCTCTGTTCGGAAATTTTCTTCCTATTTGACTTTTCTTGGTCAAAGTTTGTAAACTTTGACTATGATATGTGGAAAAAATACTCCCTCCGTCCCCAATTTGATTACAAATTGCGGATTACAGAGTAAAATTTTCTAGTTTTTGGATTCATTTTATTTACAAATTGGTATATCAATAAAATATAAAAATTACATACTTGGTGTGTCCCTGAATGTTTGTCCACTTTTGACTTTTGGAACTGTTCATCTAAGCACTTTGACTTATCAAATTTTCTCAATGTGTAAGCCTAAAAATAGTTATGTGTGATCTTGTTTGATTCTTCTTAACATATAAATTATTAATATATAATTTTTATAATTTTTTAATATACAAATTAAAAGATAAAATGGATTAAAGAAGTGCATTGGATGGTATACAAAAATGAAAGTGGACAAACACTTAGGGACGGAGGGAGTATTAAAAAACTATGTCAAAAGTTTTACAAAACAAGAGGTGACAAGAATATTTTATTTTATCAAATACTTAATGAAATCGCGTAAACAAACAAAAGTTATCGAGAGGAGAGAGAAAAAAAGATTGTAATCTGTTTAGGAACGGAGGGAGTACATGGTATTAAGATATAACTTTAATATAAATATATTCATTTTGAACTATAGTTTTCAAATATCAAATTTTTATAAAATATATTCATATATTAATAAAGATATTAGTGGTCAAAGTGCAATCTTGGAAAGGTCAAATAGAACGAACTTTTACTGACGAAGGGAGTACTAACTAACTTTCAATCATGTCAATGCCAAAGGTTGAACATTTTTTTTGGAGGAGGAATAAATGAGCAAAGTGGGTCCGCATTCACGCACTTCTATTTATTTCGTTGGTTGATATTCCCAATATCTCATAATCCCATCTATGAAAAAATGAAAAATAGGAGTATCAATTAATTTGTGAATTGCACAAAGTTTATTTAAAAACAATTTATTTGAGTAAATATTATTTTAGAGGAAAATTTAATAATCTGAATTAAATTAATTAATACTCCGTATTACTAAATTTATTTTCAAAATTTAAAAGATAAACACGAAAACTAATCTTTGGTGGAGACTCTAATATCATCTCATCGTGATCCACGAATTTTATACGGAGAAATTTAATGAAATACCTTCCCTCCTACTCGTATATATAAAATTCTTTATTATAGTTTCACTTTTTGACTTTTTTACTTACGGAGTAAATTACTATTCCGTAGGAGAGCTGGTTTTAACATGGGAGAAGAAGAATAATTTTTGTTCAATTAAATAACAAAAAAAAAATATCATCCTAATTTTTAAATTTTTTTTAAAATGAATATCGTCATGATTTGAAATCCCTATTTAGCCACGTTTTGGGACCTGCCTTATGACACGTGTTACATGTTTTTGAGACTTTTGGACCTTTTTTTTAAGTTAAATTCCAAAGGGCCATTGGACTTTGCGTCCAGGCAACCATCATATGGACCGTGCTACAGTGCACCCGTGGATGCCTCCTATGCTGCCTCCCTATTTAAGGTGTTTTTTTTTACCTTTTCTCATTCTTTTTTTTTCTTTTTTTCCTTTCCTCTACGTCGCTCTGCTATTCGGCTCCACCGACCCGCTCTCTTCTCCCTGCGCTCTCCTTGGTAGGTAAGCTCTTCTTTTTCTTATCTTCCCATTCATATCTTTGATGCGCAACTCCTGTAGCACGACAATTCCTCTGTCAATCTCTTCTCTTCATTCCGTTTTTAGTCAATTTCTATGGCAATAATTTTTTGAATTTTTGTAGAGTATATAGGATATTTGGTGATTATGGACTTACAAACATCTATTGTTACACATGTTGAGAATGAGCAACCACATGATTTTGGTGGTGAAGAAGAAGACCTGGTTTTATATGAGTTGCAGCACAGTTGTAAGTGTTGATAGTTAGACCCCATTCTATATTCATTTGAAGTAGCGGAAAAAAACTGTTTTGTTTTCGTGTTACAGAGATTAAAGTTCTGTGAATCTAGGGTTTGTCCTTGTCACAGACGCTAAATATCTGTATGCAATCTGCATTTGCTGTAGCACGACCATCCCTCTGTCAATGTCTTCTCTTCATTCCATTTTTAGTCAATTTATATAGCAATAATTTTTTGAATTTTTATGGAGTACATAGGGTATTTGGTGATTATGGACTTACAAACATGTATTGTTACACATGTTGGGAATGATCAACCACATGATTTTGGTGGTGAAGAAGAAGACCTGGTTTTATATGATTTGCAGCCCTTGTAAGTGTTGGTATTTAGACCTCATTCTATATTCATTTGAATTAGTGAAAAAATACTGTTTTGTTTTGATCTTACAGAGATTAAAGTTCTGTGAACCTAGGGTTTGTCCTTGTCACAGATGCTAATAATCTGTATGCACTCTGCATTTGGTGTATTTTTGTTTTCTTCATAGTCAGACATTGTACTATATTAAAGGTGCTGTTTTTTTGCAGAGAAAAACCCGAAACCGAAAGAAGGTAGAAAAAATGATGACCTACCTAATAAGAGGAAGAAAATGGATGCGTCTGAGATCTTTGCATCACAACGACATCATGCTTGGCCCGTGCAAGACGAAGATGGTGTTTACGACCTCACCTTGGGAGGTCTGGAGCTTGGCATTTCACTACATTGACTTTTAATTGTCCTTTTTTGGCATCAGATCTAGAACTTTGCTCTCATTTTTGGATTGAGCATGGGAACTGTATTTTACATCAGATCTAGAACTGATGTAAACATGATGTAACTCTGTTTTTACATACATTAAGTCTTTGTGAAGTGTGTGAAATAGACAGTTATTCTATGTGAGCCCGCTGAAATCTAATGTATGCGTTTTAACTTTCTTTTTACCTTTACAAGACCCCCACATATGTGATAAGATTCTGAAGATGGTGTATGTACATAAAGTTATGTAACTCTGTCGTCACATACATTAAATTTCTGTGAAATGGATAAAATAGACAGTTATTCTCTGTGAGGGTTCTGAAAGTAAAACTGTAAAACAGTTATAAACTAATGTAAATCAGTCATCACATACATTAACACATTCCCCAAAAAATACATTACAAAGCACAAAAACCATGAATTGGGGATGAAGTTTACAAACATTGAAGAAATCTGAGAACACTATCTGGTTGATGTAACTCTGTCTTCACATACATTAATTCTCTGTAAAGTGTGTGACATAGACAGTTATTCTATGTGAGCACCATGAAATCTAATGTATGCATTTTAACTTTCTTTTTACCTTTACAAGACCCCCACATATGTGATAAGATTATGAAGATGGTGTATGTGCACAACGTTATGTAACTCTGTCGTCACATACATTAAGATCTAGAACTTTGCTCTCATTTTTTTGGAATGAGCATGGGAACTATAAATCACATACCTTTTTGTTTTTTTATTTTTTGTGTAAAGTATGTAACAGATAAGATTTAACTTTCTTTTTACCTTTACAAGACTCTCACGTATGTGATAAGATTCTGAAGATGGTGTATGTGCATAATGTTATGTAACTCTGTCGTTACATATATTAAAGCTCTATGGAACGGGTAAAATAGACGGTTATTATCTGTGAGGGCTTTGAAAGTAAATCTGTAATCCAGTCATAAACTAAGGTAAATCAGTCATCACACACAATAACAAAATGTGCATTAACAAGTAGAAATTCATGATGATAAAAGCCCCATTACAAAGCTTCCAAAAAATGTAAAGCTAAAGTGTTTCCCCAAAAAATACATTACAAAGCACAAAAACCATTACAAAGAGTTTCACAAAAATTAAAGACCCCTAAAATTGTAAAGTAAAAAACTAAATATTGGTTGTTTTCCTTCCACGCCATAACCTAGCTGCAAATTGACATCGGAAATCAGCCATGTGTTCAGAACTACAGTTCGGACTTAATAGTAAGCCAACCAACAAAGACTCTAGAAATGCAAGCACCATCACTCCACAATTGTCATACCTGCAAAGGAAAATAGTATTAAAATAAGTAGGGGGTATAATTTTCACCCGTCCATGGGAGTAGCATACAATTCACAGAAAGCAAGCAAAAATAACAAGCAGAACAGACAATAATGTTATATGAAGTTCAAATAACAGAACTTAACCATCTATGTCATACAATTCACAAAGTAAGCAAAAATAACAAGTGAAGAAAAAATACATTACAAAACACAAAAACCATTACAAAGAGTTTCACACGTTTCCCTTTCATCCTCATCCTAATGACCAAATGAAGAAAAAAACCATTGAATCAAGTGATGATGATACAAGAGACTGTTTAAAGTACAATTTAAAACCAAAACAGATCAGCTCACCCTGGAAATCGAGGGTTGGGCTGCCGGCGCTGGAAATCGAGGGTTGGGCTGCCGGCGAGGGAGGTGAAGGGGTGGGGACACGACGCTTGAGGTGGTGGGGCCGGTGCGCTGCAGGTGGAGGGCTGGGGGTGCGCTGGA